ACGCTTTCTCCAGCCTCATCAAGTATCAACAGAATTCTGGATACTTCAGAATTTAATACTTAGGGAGCTAAACTAGCTAAATCTAAATAACTTTGAAATGTTTATTTTTGACATTGTCACATTTCATATTGATCACTTCTTTGATTATTTGATCTTCAGCTGGTTTAAACTTTCAGTGACTTTGATAAATATGTTTAAAACGTGTTTAGGCTCATTAAACCTTAGTGTGGTGTTGCATCAGTACATAACAAGCAAGGCAGCATAAAATACCATGTAATCTGTAAAATGTCTGGAAGCAGAATGATTAGTAAATACAACTGTTCAGCATAAATTTTAGTGATCTCAATTACTTTACAACAGGAATGGTAGTTGCTGAATTTTCTAATACATATTTGCACAATAGTATGAATGAAGTGGTTACAAAAAGACAAAAAGATCATTATTTCATTTTTTTAAATATGGAAACTTTGAAAATTATTATGACAGGCAATATATATGAAAGCAACATCAGAAGGCCTTTCAAGAGTACACTAATAACAATGTAACTGCTAATGCTTGATCTGAATCACATGATTGTGAGACAGACTTTGATGTTCAATAACATTCTAAGATGGTGCTACATGTTTATAAGGCAGGGTTGAAAATAACCAGAAAGAACACTCACTTATCATGTTATCATCTACTGAACTCCTATGTGTATGAATAGGTTATGTTTCTATCAACACGAAACTAAACAGAAACTACACTATGTCATTAATAAAAAAAAAACATACTGTACATCATATGTCCTTGGTATATGGATTATTGACTAAGGACCTCTGCATGTGAATCTAGGGATTAATATTGTATCTGTTACAAAACTCTACATGTTTAACGGCTCTATTGTGTCTTTTTCAATTTTGTCATTTATGTTGGGCACATCAGTGGATTAGACAGATCATTGTGCCTTGGGAACTCTTGTGGATATCCCATTGGTGTGGAAGACATTTCTCTTTTATATTAAGTGTTATAAATGCCAAAACCTGATATAATGAAGTTTAAGCTATTGGATCTACATAAAAGCACTACGGAGTTGATTTCCACATAAAATTTAGTTGGTCTGAATATTAAAAAGTCTATTTTGATGCAGTCAGTGATACTGTGACTTATTTTCTGTACAACAGATGTGAATTGACTATCAATGTTTTGAATTTTGATCTTCCAAAATTTAAACAGCATGCTGTAAAAGCCATTTCTTCTGCTTGCAACTGTATTACAACATCTTTCAGAATATGGAAAGAAAAAAAGGATACAAAGTGGGCATTGCAACTCATCTCCAATTTTATATATTTTTTCAGAGTTCAGGAAGCTGAGGTTAGAATACAGAAAACGCATTGAAGATGCATTGGTGAATGGAGAGTTGAACAAGAAGTTAGCTAAACTAAACTAACTAAACTAAAGTTAGTTATTAATTTTATAAATGAATGTAATCACTGATAGGCTTAATTTCTATCAGCAAGCAAAGGACATGAACATACTGTACATTCCAAATAGAATTTATACATGTACTGCATATGGATAATAATATGATGCACATGAACACAAAGATGACAAGCCTTATGTAATAAAATACATTTTAAAACTAAAAAGGCTTAATGATAAATTAAAAGAAAACTATAGTGATTCATAAATGAGCTAGATATATTGTCTTGTCTAGAACTTTATAGTAGGTATAATCAAACTACAAAATTTTACATTTTATGTATATTTTCCAAAAAGTTTAAATTTGAGATAATTCATGGAATGTGAAATTGTATTGCATGTATGCAGTCTTTTTAAGATTATTCGTATTTCTTTAGCACTTACTACAATAGTGTAGACCTGCATTTATCCAGAGGAGGGAGCCAGCATACAAAATAAAACCCAGATGCAAGCAGCACAGAATCATTATTTTATATCATTAAACAATAGTCATTATGATGAAAAGGAATAAAAAGATATCAAGTACTTCACCCTTACAATTATTACAAATGGACCAGTCACAGAAAGGACTTACCAACTTAAGAAAACAATAATGATATAAATTAAACAATGCTTAGCTTACTCAGGGGTTATATTGAAGACTGAGGCACAGAAAAAATATACAGCTGTCTGAAATTAAGTACAAATAGGTTGCATTATACCATGAGTCACTAGAATAGATTCTCTGCTCATTCAAATAAGCAGCTGCATCTTGCACTCAACAGAGAATGCCTACCTGACAGGACCCTATTCAAATGTAATAGGGTCACAAAAGAGGGCGTTGAAAGGTAAGTACAAGCCTGGTTTTCAAAATATATGTTTATTTAGTTTCTTTTCATATATGGGCAGTAACTGTCTGCTATGATAAAATTACATGAAAAGTAGAATAGTGTATACTGAAACTCAGGATACAAAAACAGATGCAAACAGGTTCTAAACATGCTGGTGTATTGCTACTATAAAACTGATCATTTAAGTGTTTGTGCTCATCTCCCTGTAATCATACAAATACATATGGCTTTTAAAAGTAAAACAAATGTAATCATACTTGGTATTTTCTATTTAAATTGAGTATTTTAACTATTACAATTATAACTGTAGTTGTGCTTTTTGAACAGTGCAGGTGCTACATACTGTACATAACTAGCAAAGAGCAGCAAAAACAGTTCCTTTTTTGCTTAATTTGCTGACCAAAAGGGAGATCCATTGCACATTGAGATGCATTAGTGGTACATCTCTAACTACTGAGAGAGAATGTTCCATTAAAAGCTCTGGAGTTTACTCTTTATCTGGTAAGAGTACAGTTTTAGCAAGCATTACAAAAACATCTAAGGAAACATTCACAGACAAAGTAAGGGTTCTACAAAAGCAATGACATTTGAATTCTCATCTGATTTTGCAGTGATTTGTGGTTCACTGTTATTTGAACATTTTGCAGATATTCCTATGCAGGACTACAGAATTATAACAAATGTTGTTGTCATGCTTCAGTTCTCTGTACACATTTTGCTGGTGGCTTTATGAAACTGTGACAACCCAAAATTTGTTGATACCTTGTACATGGAAATGGTCAAGTCATGTTCCATGTCTCTTTGAGAGCATGTCATTCCTTTGTAATTCATATTTTGTGGAACATGAGCACTCAGCAATGCCTCAGGCATAACAGTTGACACTAGAAACATGGGAGTGAATGGATGAATTCTGTAAGCTAGTAGTCCATGTACAATGTATTTCATGTACTTTGAGTTGTAAGTGATTATGTTACAGCTAAAACCTTGAATACAGTATAATATTGTGAGATTTGAGTATAATCTAATTAATTATTTTCAGCTATCTTTTGTGTAAGAGGCATTTTACCTGTTGGAAAATCAAAATATGTAAGCCCTGCCCATCAGACAGAAATAAACTATAAAAACAAATATTATATGTATTATGGACTTTATACATAGAAAGAAATGGATGTTGTGGAAACTGAAAGACTGACAAATGTTTGGATCATCCAGCAACTAGTGTTGCATCAGATATTTCATATTTTTAGCACGTATTCCCTTGCTTCACAGAAAAGTTAAGTGCATTTTCATACACAGCACTAAATTACATAATAAATCAAATCAACATTTACTTTCTGACCTTACAGATCAATGCTTAGAAAGAGACAATTGCTTGATTAGACTTTACAATGACAAAACGTTCGTGCATGCTGATGGAAGAGCTACATGGCAATAAGCATAAGGCTTTATGTGCAAAAAAACGTGAAATAATACTGGACATAAAATTTGATAAATGTTGGAATATGGTATTAATATTCATGTGCCAAAGTTTACTGTAAGTACATAATTTTTACTGTTACATTTCAGTTCTATCAATACCTGAATTATGAAAATGTGTCTTTTGCTTAACGATAAAGCAGATTTAACCAATTTCATGTGATCATTCCAATTCTATAGAAACCTTTATTTCAGTAAACAAATAACAAGATCAACCAAACTTTTGCATAACATCTGGGCAATGTAAACAAAAGATAAAGGACCTGTACATTAACATTGACTTCAACATCTGACCACTGCAATCTTAATTGAATGAATGCTGATTAAGTATGGGATTGAAAAAATAACTCAGAAAAAATTAGTTGTATAATAATGCTGTAGGCTCTCAAAAAATAGTATACTATTAAAGAATTCACCCAGATTTCACTGAACGTTGAAAGGTTTTGCAAACATCCTACTTTATACCACATTTCACAAAAGGTATTTTCTATTAGACTTTAGACTACAGAAACCTCATATTTTAGATTTTAAAAAAAAGGTAGCATTCTGCATATTTCAGGTAAAACATTTACCATACTTGTCATATTGAGAAGCTATATTGAAAAGTAAAACACCGCTTTTCCGGCGTTCTAAAGATTTTTGATAGTGATAGTGATAGTGATAGTCTTTTAGCCAAAATGAAGGATTAATTTTGTGTCAAACTAAAGTTGAAATCAAAAGAGCACTAAAATAGGTATTTTTTTGTTTTTAAAAAAGTAGTCTTGGCATCTTAGTATTATTCAAACTAGAAAGGAAGTACTGTATACATTCTACAAAAAGACCCTTAACAACATGAAAGGCATAAGAAAAGTGTGTTTAAGTGAATGTGCAGTTGGGTCTAAAACAATTCCACATTCATTACTCTTTACAATACACTTTGCAGTGCTTTCACATGAGCTTTTATAACTTCTGAACAAGATGTTTAAACATTTGGTCGAAAAATGTAAATAACGCATATAAACAACCTAAAGGCTATATCAGATATGAAATTGTGAAATAATGTAATGGAGAATCGCCTTTTATCACTTTTTAAACGTGCTAACATCCCTTTACACAATTCAGATTGAAAATTGCTCAATTCAAAGAAAAATTACTTCTTGCAGTCAAATACATTTTAAGAAGCAAAGCATTAGAATGAAACAAAGCAACTTCTAAGGCAGTTGGATCAATTCAGGTCTTATGATGTATACTTACTGCAGTAGACTATCAGAAGGCTTGTCAGTATCATGATTGCCCAGAAAGTTGAGGACATGCTTGCCCAGGCGTTGGCATCCTTTCGATTACTTAGCCTGGGAGATGGAGCCATTGAAGCCAGTTTCCTGTACGAAAAAATATAGTCAATTTCACCAGCCAACTCTCCCCCTGACAGATCGCCGTCCTCCACGTGTAATCCCTAAAAAAGACATCTTGAAAATGTGTCGTCCATCAGCAACCTTTCAATATTGGATTGTCATATTTAATAGAAAAAAGCAAATATTTCTCATAGCTCTACAATAGATTCCTCTTTAGCACTGGGAATTTGGATGTCCGTGATGGAATGAGAGCAGGAATTATTTAGGTATTTATACAATGGAATCCTAGATGTTTTAAAAGAAGAAATAATTCCACAGAGGATATATCAATAAAAGTAAAAAAAAAAACTATGCATCTGATTCCTTAGAGATTTCTAAAGTAGATGCAAAACTGTGCTCCTGTTTTCCAGCCATGAAAAAAAAAGCTGTGTTCGTACAGCTTTAGGATGAAACCGTTTTTACCGCAACCTCGTGCAACACCCCATCACACCTGGGGCTATGGATGATCTGCGAATGACAGTGGATAGTTACTCCTTTGAAAAAAAAGGGCAAAGCAAGCAGAGAGTTCTTGTAAAATCCAACCATAGACGGTAGGAAATCGACAAAGAAGTGCCTGAGGATGGCGACAGACTTTAAACACAAAGAGTCGAAATGGAGATCTTAAGCAACGTGAGATCCCTTCTAATGTGGAAAAGGAACTGGTAGTAGATACTGTATCAGACTAAGGCTGAAAAAATAAATAAACAAGTAGTTAGGTTCGGATTCGCTAGACCATTCCTTTAAGGATTCAGTGATTAGAAAAGTTCTTTTCAGTTTGTTTTCGGCATCCTTCTCTCTTTGCTACATTGCACGGCTCGCTAAATAAAAACTGCTTTCTAGAGTCCTCTGACGCAGCTTCTTCACTGGGCAACAAGCAGGGAAAGTTAATCACGCCCACAGGTAAAACAGAAAGCTGGTGAGTGGGCGCGTATATGTTTTGTGTGTCTCTGCATATACCGTATTTGTTAAGCGAATGGTTGTTTTGCTTCAATTTAATGTTCATGTCTATAACAGATCTGTAGAACCCTGTAACACCATTTGTAAATTTAGGTTCCATTTAGGAATAAGGGCTGTCATGAGTTATAGACAACATTTGTTTTTTCCTACTTGTTGATTAATTGTGCTATGCATTTTTAGCCGTCTTGTTTTTGTCGTTACATTTGAGCATCTTCTTAGTTTTTATGAAATCTTTTTAATTTTTCATTAAAGGAATAAAAAAATCGTAGTTTTTATTGAGTCATTTCATAGTGAGGCAAGAGTGCAATCTATTTTAGAATTATGTCACTGTGATTGCGTTGCAAACTCTTATGAGTTTCTTCATTTATTGGGACAGCTGGCGAACCCTGTAAAGCACAAGTAAACAACAGGGAATTGGAAAAAAGGTATTTACACAGAAGACTAAGAATACCGAATTATCTAGCGGATGTTACCACCTTTCTTCTCATTCTGCAACATACAAGTGGGCAGAGGTTAGACTATTATAAGAATAATTGCCTCAGTGTTCAAACGAGACGTTTACAGCACTGATGCTTCCAAAATCAGATTAAATGGATTGCCATAAACGACGATTATTAAACCAGTTATTATGTATAATAAAAAGGTTGATTGTTTGGTTCAAATGATTTAACAATGCATGATATGTATGTAGCCAGTATAATAGTGTTTTACAAAGGGAAACTAATCATAGATCATACTGTATGTGACCGTTTCAAAAACTACGGTGGCTTCGTTTGTTAATATTCTTCTTCCATATAACTGACCTTTGTAAAGCTTTATTGAATTAAAAAATCCTGAAACGCCGACATAGTTTTTGCTAGAAAAAATGTTATGTACTGTATATAGTTATGGAAACATAATGGCAACATTCTCATATCTGTTGATTGTGTTCTTTATACTCCTTTATGCGAGTCGACTTCTTCTTCCACAGCTCCTCACTGAACACTGCTCCTTAAAAGATAATTATGGGCATACAATAATTATATTTCATTTTATTCTCTGCAGCCAACGTATTTCACGCCCTAGACTTCTCCTCTACTTTCTTTCATGCTCTCCATGTAAATGAATCAGCAGCTGATTACACAGCACCTTTTCTTGTCCTAAGTTCCTAAATTGATGCATGGCTCTCTCTTTTACATCATTTTCTGAAGCCTGTCACCTTAGCTAAAAGGCTTAGAAAAACACATATTCTGCATATTCAGTGTGCTGGCAGAATAAAATGAACGCCTCTGAAGTATTGACAGTATAAATGATTTTTTTAAATTAAATGCTAGATTTTGAATACAAATAAATTGTACTAGTATTTATTTGTATCGCTACATGCAGACGTTGGTCCATGTTCTGCCACATACTGCATGGAGGACTGTGTTCTTCAACTGTTCTGAATTGATAGGCAGTTGATTTTGTTTTTTAGTTTCACTTCTAGATCCTCTTAAATGTACTCATTCACCATACCACCATAGTGGTAAAAAGGACTCGGGACAACAGGAATATAGAACATGTTCAGTTTTATTTACAGCATCTGTTTCAGAGACAGTTCAACTGGATTTTGTCCTCCAGGCTTCAATTGGAGAGATTAAAACCAGAATAATTGTCTTTAAACTTAAGGATTTTACAGCGCATTGGAGCCACTGCAGGAGATAACTACAGAAGGCAAGTTTTCAGCAGTTTACATCATAAAGTTACATTGCTTAGGATAGATAAGGGAAGAGGCACATATTCAGTAATTTTCAGCTTCTCTGACTACTGTTTAGGTCAGCTGAAATGTAATTGCTTTTATTATTTGAAAGAAATCAAATACTTATTATGTGGTATGTCCTTCCCAGGAGCTTTAGTATTTACTGTATATTTAAAACTCTAGAATGATTCTGTTTCCTATACTCATATACAGTAGATTTTGAGGGGGTATAGCACTCCCTGATAATGACCCTGTAGCATATCAGTAAAATGTTTTTACACATAGTGTATAATCAGTACCTTGCATTATGTATAGATTTTGCTTTAATAATTTCAGGTACCATAAATATTTTGAAAAGTAATAAAATGGTCAAAAAAATATGCCTTTAGGACCCAAGAGACTAAGGAAAATCATGTCCAAAAAAAGTAAAGAAGGCCATGGCATTGTGGAGAATTGCAGTATTTGTGTTTTACAAGTAAACATTTCATGAAGTGGACACATCTGGACCTTTTGGTGAGGAGTTTAACCAGTTTCTTTGGTTCGATTTGATTGTAGACCCGCCTTTTCCCTACAAGCAAGGGAGTAGTGACAAAATTAAAAGTATGTGTTCCAGGCTAGTTTTGCTGGCCTGTGGCAGTTTAAGGGTTTCAGGGCTAAGGATTTAAGTTTCCATCTTGTCAGTGGGTCTTATCTAGTTGTGGCTGTATAGGACAAGCTATCCAGCCACATTGTTGAAGCTGAAAACCTGGCATCTTTCAAAAAACTGCTACTAACTACTAAACTGGTAATAATAATAATAATAAAAGCGCTTTTTCTGGACACTCCACTCAAAGCGCTTTACAGGTAATAGGGACTCCCCTCTACCACCACCAATGTGCAGCATCCATCTGGATGATGCGACGGCAGCCATAGTGCACCAGAACGCTCAGTGGGGAGGAGAGCAGAGTAATGTAGCCAATTCATAGAGGGGGATTATTATGAGGGCTAATGGGAAACTTGGCCAGGACGCCGGGGTTACACCCCTACTCTTTTCGAGAAACACCCTGGGATTTTTAATGACCACAGAGAGTCAGGACCTCAGTTATATGTCTCATCCGAAGGATGGCGCCTGTTTACAGTATAGTGTTCCCATCACTATACTGGGGCATTAGGACCCACACAGACCACAGGGTGAGCACCCCCTGCTGGCCCTACTAACACCTCTTCCAGCAGCAACCTTGGTTTTTCCCAGGAAGTCTCCCATCCAGGTACTGACCAGGCTCATACCTGCTTAGCTTTAGTGGGTTGCCAGTTGTGAGTTGCAGGGTGATATGGCTGCTGGCGTATCAGTTGATCTTATGTTGATTCAGTAAGATCAAATGAACGGCCTCCTCTCATTTATAACCTTTCTTATGTCATTAATCTAGTAAATATATATATATAATTTTCCAGCTTTCCTATTTAGAATGATCATTTTTAAACAGTGCACATCTTCTTTTGATTGAGTTAGTCACCCATATCTGGTGACGCCTTGCCAGTTACAGTATACACTGTTATCTGGGGATTCCTGGTCACATTAAGTTAAGCACATGTTTGAGACTCATTCAGTGATGTCTAATCTACTGTATGTGGCTCATGCTGGGCTGGAAATAAATATATTTTCAGTATGAAGATCTGTATTTTGAACTGCTAAGCAAAAACTGAAAACTAATGAAAATAAATATCAGGAAAAATTGTAACACTACAGGTTCTATTTGTGCTCATTTTGTTTGACAAGCTCATCAGTAACTCATGTAGCTTAGAAAACTGTGCAAACATTTTTTTTCAGTAGCAGCGAATGCTCACCTAAACTGTCTGGTAGATTATATAGTGCGCTTAAATATCGAGTGACACTAGGGGTAGGTTTTCAAAATAGACAGTCTGAGGAAAATACAATCACAGCTGTAAGATAAAAATGTGTGCAATGTGAAGGAAAACACCTTGCCCCTTTTTACCTGATATCTAGACTTCTTCCCAAAGTGTATCTACTGTATATCGTGCAATTCTGCAGCTAAGCTGCTAACCAGTTCCCCAGACTGTCTCACTCAGACTCCTCAGACTCAGCACTTTTTCTGGGGAATGTGGTCCAGACAAGAATTGTCATCTTGACTGAACCTGCTGTACCATCACTACATTAAAGAGAAGAAATGAAAAGGAAATGGCAGATATACTGTAATTAATAAACTTTATACAGAGGTGATCACTAAGGACCTAACATGGTCTTCAGGGAAAAACCTCCAGTATTAAGCAAACTAAACATAACTGAGGCTGAAGCACATAGGCATTGCCATTGCCTGATGATAAATTATTTTTCCAGTTGTACTGAAGGGAAGGTGATAACTCTTTCAGCTCCCTCTGTTGAGTGACATACTGTAGTACCTGTTGATTGGGAAATTGCAAAAAGGGATACAAATCTGAGCCTTACATTTCCACAACAGTAATTCTTACCTCTGTTACGTGTAACATTATAATGGACACAATAATGAGAGCTAAAGTACTGTAGATGATTTGTAACAGTCCCCTGTGGGATTGTACAGGTTTATTCTAACACACAAGAGTTGGAAACTAAAGTTCTTCAGTTTTCTCCCTTTATGTTGTAATGAAGTATGTGAACTAAACAGTTGTTCAGATAGTTTAAACTGAGGTGTAATATAGACAGAGAGTTAGTATAACCACATAGAAATAAAAAAAGAAGTACTATAAGTGTAATTTGAAATTAACACACCAACTCTTACCACCAGAATAGAGATACCAGTAGACACTTAAATTACTTAACCACTGTATTATGAGAGAAGGAGAGAGCAACAGAAGGAAAAAATATCCAAATACAGTTAACACACAACACTGTAGATTTTATGTTTCTCAAAAAGAACATTCTTTAAATTATCCTTCTTTTGTTCTTTGCAACAATACAAAATAATGCAGTATAAAATCCAGGTCCAATCATATTTTGTTTATTTAAATTCCAACTCCAGTAGAATTATTTTTTGAAAAATGTAATGAACAAAGAAATACAATTATGGAATTTATTTAGCCTAACTACAGTAGTCCCTTTATATGTGAGAATAAATAAAAAAATACTGTAACATAAATGATTAGAATAAACTGTTTTTTTTCTTGGGAGTTATTTTTAAAGTGTGTTCTAAACAAAGAAAAATAAGTCCAGTGTACCACCTTCACTAGCCACACAGAAGTGAAAGAGAGACAAGGAATGTCTCACAAACATGAAAACAGTGCAGCTGCTCAGTTCTTACTTTAAAGATCACTAAAGTGAGAAAGGTATGATTTCCATCTAGTTTCATGAGTTTCAATCTGTTGTATATTCCTATTCCCATTTATTGTAAAGAAAATAATGTATAAACAAAAAATAAATACTTATTTAGACACTACAGATATGTTA